ATGACATGTACATACCGAACCTTCTGCAGCTTGCCAAGCACTTTCATTAATCTTTATGTTTATTTGCGTTTTTAAAATTGGAGGCACTTCTAAATGTTTGCAAGGTTCTTTAGGTCCTTTTACTATGATGTGTATTCTGCTATATTGCGTATCGTTTAGGACAGGCGGAATCTTTAATGATATCGTGGAATCAAATTTCTTTACGTCTGCCATCAGATTCCCATCAAAATCGATCGTGGTAGGTGTTTGCAATATTTTGGTATTAGTGCTGCTAGATTTGTTTGCTATTGTCACAGCTTGAATTTGAATATTATACAGCGTTGATGGAAACAAATATAATTCTTGTTTATAATAACGCGCGTAATTTTTAAGAACTTTTTTATCAGATACTATTGAAATGTTCTTCGTCAAATTTGAAGAAACTTTATGTATTTGAATAAGAAAATAACTGCAGGTGTCTGCCTGTCTTCCAAGGATGATCCCATTTTACGTCAATTACACTATTGTTCTTGACTGTCAAAGTGAAATTCCCAGGTGCATCTGGTGCTAAAAAATTTTATGGTCACAATATTGTCTAATCGACACAATAATAAATTTAATTTAGTCATATTTTAATGTTTTTTTGATTCGTATAATATTAGCTATATAAATGATAAGCATATAATGCTTTTTTAGCATTTTCTGAATTATATAGCAAATAATCATGACATGGATTTGTTAATTATAGTAAGAAAATCGTAAAATATAATTATATACAAAAATTATAGTTTAACTATAGTCTATGTTTAATTTAAAACGCATTTGAAATTTCACAATATACTAAGCTTTCAAGTTTTGTTGAATGATAAAGTCTTACTTGTATTATGTAGCATTGTTTCGGTAACATAAACGGGAACACTTGATTCAGTAACATTTATATTGTAGGCTAAAATCTGTAAAATTTGTTTCAAATTGTATTAACTTTATATATATATATATTTTTTCTTAGATAATTTTTGTTTATTACATCACATTTATGAAACACACACGCGCGATTTTTTGTAGCACGCAAAAAATATTTTTTTTTTTACCTGAATTTCTAAATGTGTAGAACCTATAGTAGCGCAGATGTAATCATCCCACAGGTCACAGGTGTTGTTAACATTAACTTCATATTGGTTAAAGCAGCTTAAATAAAACAAATTACAGATTCGAATGACGTAATGACTCAACCTTCCATTCGTAGGTGGAGGTGGACTTTTCCATCTCAAATGTACCATTTCACGGCATGGCGGGTATCAATTTCCACAACATCCAGATTAGTTATCGGAGGTGGAGCTGTTATTTCCATCATATTATATTTGTGAAGCAAATTATAAAGCAATTTAATAATTAATTAATAAAAAATTTACCTGTTGGCGGAAGTGTAAACAAACGTTTTTGATAAGCGGAAGCATTTTCCGAACTGTTCTCATCTCTTACTACATAAACTCTTACCATGTATTGTTCAGCGCCATAAAGTTCTGATATCTTTTTTAAATCAAAATAATTTAATTGGTCTTGACTGGGCTGGGCTTGACTCACAAAACTGAAATTTTTGACAGCGTCGCTCACGCCGTCTATTTTTATTCTAGCCTTTAATCGTCCCGAAATCGTTTTGCAATCTTCAGGTTTACTCCACGACAATATCGATTTCGTAGATAAAGTCAATGGGCCAAATGTCTCCGTTGGTATCTCTATTGAATTGATGACTGTTATTGTTTAAATGTGATAAACATATATACATATATTTTTT